AACAAGAAAAAAAACTGCCTTTACCACCCCCCTTCCCGTGGCAACGAGACAGGAGGTGTGCTGAGACGTTCAAAGGGGAACCTTCGTGCGAGGGGTCGAGTTACTCGCCGCGTGAACATGCACGCGGCGAAAAAATTTTTGTTAAAAAAAATATATATATATATAACGTGCTCCGGTATTACTTGGGCGTTGTCCTCGAAGCTGATTGGCCTGCACCGGAGCCGGCAGCCGCCTTCAGGCTCTGGTCCCGCCACCGGGGTCGGCCCCCCGCGGTTGGTTTCGCTGATTTACGGAACAGAATCGTCGGCCACCGCCCTTGGACACTCCGGCGGGGCCATCGACGACCGCCCTCGTGGCCGGCCCCCGTCCGAGGCTTGCGAACAACCGAATGGCCGCCGCGGTCGTCCCGGCCACCGCCGGGAAAATACTTTTACCCGCATCCCGGCAAATCGGCTCCTACCCCGTCAGAGTGAAACCCTCCCAGGATCGCGCGCGGCCTTCGCCCGTGCGGAGGCACAACAGGCGGTGCTTTTCACGGGGACGGCCGACCGCAAGCGACACGCCGGGACCTCAAGGAAACCGGTTTTACACGCTCCCTTTGTAGACCGTTGACGAAGAGCCTCCGACTCTGTGAGCCGCCACGCCGCCCTCCGGCTGATTGTGTCGAGAGAGGATCGGCCGCCCCCGGGGCTCATTGACGAGGGTGGCTGTGTGGGTGGGTGGGCGGCTGGGTGGGCGGCTGGGTGGGCGGGTGGGCGGCTGGGTGGGCGGCTGGGTGGATGGCTGGGTGGGTGGGTTGGTGGCTGGATGGGTGGCTGGGTGGGTGGCTGGGTGGGTGGCTGGGTGGGTGGCTGGATGGGTGGCTGGGTGGCTGGGTGGGTGGGTGGCTGGGTGGGTGGGTGGCTGTGTGGGTGGGTGGCTGGCTGAGTGGGTGGCTGGGTGGGTGGGTGGCTGGCTGAGTGGGTGGGTGGCTGAGTGGGTGGGTGGCTGGGTGGCTGGGTGGGTGGCTGGGTGGGTGGCTGGGTGGGTGGGTGGCTGGCTGGGTGGGTGGGTGGCTGGGTGGGTGGCTGGGTGCTTCGGGGGAGTCAAAATTCCTGTACAGAAGAGACGGGGAAAGAATCTTCAACCCCGACAGAGTCATGGCATGAAGAGCAAAGTCTCCACCACTTCCATCGTGGGGCTCCGGGCATGCAGATGACAATGCCATCGCTACCCACTCAGAAGAAGAGCCACAGTGCATCCTGGATTTCTTAGCAAAGGCATCGCAAGCTCCTGTGTATGGCATAGCCGGCAACCCCCTTATCATCAGTGCCCTACCTTATTACAGACCAATTCAGACCTTATTGGTCACCCCGTGTCGATTCTAAATCTCAACGGAGATCCGATAAAGTCCCATCTCAAGGAGAGAAACACAAACAAATAGACAAATTATTTTATTTTGCCCGTATTGAAACGGCAGTAACGCCGTATGGGCCTGAGAACTCAAATTCCCCTGTACAAGAAGAGAGAGTACACCGTGTGGGTTAACACGGTGTACTTCAACATTGGAGGCTATGGGTAGAGACTTTAACATTGGAGTCTATGGGAGACTTTAACATTGGAGTCTAAGGGAGACTTTAACATTGGAGTCTAAGGGAGACTTTAACATTGGAGTCTATGGGAGACTTTAACATTGGAGTCTATGGGTAGAGACTTTAACATTGGAGTCTATGGGTAGAGACTTTAACATTGGAGTCTATGGAAGACTTTAACATTGGAGTCTATGGGTAAGACTTTAACATTGGAGTCTATGGGTAGAGACTTTAACATTAGTGTCTATGGGAGACTTTAACATTGGAGTCTATGGGTAGAGACTTTAACATTGGAGTCTATGGGAGACTTTAACATTGGAGTCTATGGGAGACTTTAACATTGGGGTCTGTGGGAGACTTTAACATTGGGGTCTATGGGTAGAGACTTTAAAATTGGAGTCTATGGGTAGAGACTTTAACATTGGAGTCTATGGGAGACTTTAACATTGGAGTCTATGGGTAGAGACTTTAACATTGGAGTCTATGGGAGACTTTAACATTGGAGTCTATGGGTAGAGACTTTAACATTGGAGTCTATGGGTAGAGACTTTAACATTGGAGTCTATGGGTAGAGACTTTAACATTGGAGTCTATGGGTAGAGACTTTAACATTGGAGTCTATGGGTAGAGACTTTAACATTGGAGTCTATGGGTAGAGACTTTAACATTGGAGTCTATGGGTAGAGACTTTAACATTGGGGTCTATGGGAGACTTTAACATTGGAGTCTATGGGAGACTTTAACATTGGAGTCTATGGGAGACTTTAACATTGGGGTCTGTGGGAGACTTTAACATTGGAGTCTATGGGAGACTTTAACATTGGAGTCTATGGGAGACTTTAACATTGGAGTCTATGGGAGACTTTAACATTGGAGTCTATGGGAGACTTTAACATTGGAGTCTATGGGAGACTTTAACATTGTAGTCTATGGGTAGAAACTTTAACATTGGAGTCTATGGGTAGACACTTTAACATTGAAGTCTATGGGTAGAGACTTTAACATTGGAGTCTATGGGTAGAAACTTTAACATTGGAGTCTATGGGTAGAGACTTTAACATTGGAGTCTATGGGTAGAGACTTTAACATTGAAGTCTATGGGTAGAGACTTTAACATTGGAGTTTATGGGTAGAGACTTTAACATTGGAGTCTATGGGTAGATAATTTAACTTGGAGTCTATGGGTAGAGACTTTAACATTGGAGTCTATGGGTAGAGACTTTAACATTGGAGTCTATGGGAGACTTTAACATTGGAGTCTATGGGTAGAGACTTTAACATTGGAGTCTATGGGAGACTTTAACATTGGAGTCTATGGGTAGAGACTTTAACATTGGAGTCTATGGGTAGAGACTTTAACATTGGGGTCTATGGGTAGACACTTTAACATTGAAGTCTATGGGTAGAGACTTTAACATTGGAGTCTATGGGAGACTTTAACATTGGAGTCTATGGGTAGAGACTTTAACATTGGAGTCTATGGGAGACTTTAACATTGGAGTCTATGGGTAGAGACTTTAACATTGGAGTCTATGGGTAGAGACTTTAACATTGGGGTCTATGGGTAGACACTTTAACATTGAAGTCTATGGGTAGAGACTTTAACATTGGAGTCTATGGGTAGAGACTTTAACATTGGAGTCTATGGGTAGAGACTTTAACATTGGAGTCTATGGGTAGACACTTTAACATTGGAGTCTATGGGTAGAGACTTTAACATTGGAGTCTATGGGTAGAGACTTTAACATTGGAGTCTATGGGTAGATAATTTAACTTGGAGTCTATGGGTAGAGACTTTAACATTGGAGTCTATGGGTAGAGACTTTAACATTGGAGTCTATGGGAGACTTTAACATTGGAGTCTATGGGTAGAGACTTTAACATTGGAGTCTATGGGAGACTTTAACATTGGAGTCTATGGGTAGAGACTTTAACATTGGAGTCTATGGGTAGAGACTTTAACATTGGGGTCTATGGGTAGACACTTTAACATTGAAGTCTATGGGTAGAGACTTTAACATTGGAGTCTATGGGAGACTTTAACATTGGAGTCTATGGGTAGAGACTTTAACATTGGAGTCTATGGGAGACTTTAACATTGGAGTCTATGGGTAGAGACTTTAACATTGGAGTCTATGGGTAGAGACTTTAACATTGGGGTCTATGGGTAGAGACTTTAACATTGGGGTCTATGGGTAGAGACTTTAACATTGGAGTCTATGGGTAGAGACTTTAACATTGGAGTCTATGGGTAGAGACTTTAACATTGGGGTCTATGGGTAGACACTTTAACATTGAAGTCTATGGGTAGAGACTTTAACATTGGAGTCTATGGGTAGAGACTTTAACATTGGAGTCTATGGGTAGAGACTTTAACATTGGAGTCTATGGGTAGACACTTTAACATTGGAGTCTATGGGTAGAGACTTTAACATTGGAGTCTATGGGTAGACACTAACATTGGAACGGCTGTATGCCGTAACGACCTGAAATATCCCCGTACCAGAATGCGTCGTTACGCCGTGTGGGTTGGCAGCTGTGGATAAAGACGCAAATCCTCCGGCAGCCACCAGCACCTGACCACACAACGGCAGCCCCGGCGATGTCCTCTATGGTCACCCCCTCGCCTACCCTCGGCGGCCGTCTCTCCCACCCCCCCACCCACCCCCCAAAGCCGACATCGCCGCGGGAACGCACCGCCACCACCACCACCACCGCCACCACCACCACCACCGCCACCACCACCGCCACCTCCACCACCACCACCACCGCCACCTCCACCACCGCCACCACCGCCGCCACCGCCACCGCCACCGCCACCTCCACCACCGCCACCACCACCACCACCTCCACCGCCACCTCCACTACCACCACCTCCACCACCACCGCCTCCACCACCGCCACCACCTCCACCACCACCACCTCCACCACCGCCACCTCCACCGCCACCACCACCACCACCTCCACCGCCACCACCGCCGCCACCACCTCCACCACGCCGCCTCTGCCGGAGCCGTTGCCGGCGGAACCTTGGCCCGAGCAAGGTCAAGGAGCCCTTCGGAGATGGCGGCGACGTGCCCGAAGTCGCCGCTCACCAGGACGACGTGGTGGTGAGCGTCGTCAAGGTGAAGAAGTCGCCACTCACCAGGACGACGTGGTGGTGAGCGTCGTCAAGGTGAAGAAGTCGCCACTCACCAGGACGACGTGGACGTGGTGGTGAGTGTCGTCAAGGTGAAGAAGTCGCCACTCACCAGGACGTGGTGGTGGTGGTGGTGGTGGTGGTGAGCGTTGTCAAGGTGAAGAAGTCGCCGCTCACCAGGACGACGTGGTGGTGAGCGTCGTCAAGGTGAAGAAGTCGCCGCTCACCAGGACGACGTGGTGGTGGTGGTGGTGAGCGTTGTCAAGGTGAAGAAGTCGCCACTCACCAGGACGACGTGGTGGTGGTGGTGGTGAGTGTCGTCAAGGAGAAGATGTCGCCACTCACCAGGACGACGTGGTGGTGGTGGTGGTGGTGAGTGTTGTCAAGGTGAAGAAGTCGCCACTCACCAGGACGACGTGGTGGTGAGTGTCGTCAAGGAGAAGAAGTCGCCACTCACCAGGACGACGTGGTGGTGGTGGTGGTGGTGAGCGTCGTCAAGGTGAAGAAGTCGCCACTCACCAGGACGACGTGGTGGTGAGTGTCGTCAAGGAGAAGAAGTCGCCACTCACCAGGACGACGTGGTGGTGGTGGTGGTGGTGAGTGTCGTCAAGGAGAAGAAGTCGCCGCTCACCAGGACAACGTGGTGGTGGTGGTGGTGAGTGTCGTCAAGGTGAAGAAGTCGCCACTCACCAGGACGACGTGGTGGTGGTGGTGGTGGTGAGCGTCGTCAAGGTGAAGAAGTCGCCACTCACCAGGACGACGTGGTGGTGAGTGTTGTCAAGGTGAAGAAGTCACCGCTCACCAGGACGACGTGGTGGTGAGTGTCGTCAAGGTGAAGAAGTCGCCACTCACCAGGACGACGTGGTGGTGGTGGTGGTGGTGAGCGTCGTCAAGGTGAAGAAGTCGCCACTCACCAGGACGACGTGGTGGTGGTGGTGGTGGTGAGCGTCGTCAAGGTGAAGAAGTCGCCACTCACCAGGACGTGGTGGTGGTGAGCGTCGTCAAGGTGAAGAAGTCGCCACTCACCAGGACGACGTGGTGGTGGTGAGCGTCGTCAAGGTGAAGAAGTCGCCGCTCACCAGGACGACGTGGTGGTGGTGGTGAGCGTTGTCAAGGTGAAGAAGTCGCCACTCACCAGGACGACGTGGTGGTGGTGGTGGTGGTGAGCGTCGTCAAGGAGAAGAAGTCGCCACTCACCAGGACGACGTGGTGGTGGTGGTGGTGGTGAGTGTTGTCAAGGTGAAGAAGTCGCCGCTCACCAGGACGACGTGGTGGTGGTGGTGGTGGTGGTGGTGAGTGTCGTCAAGGTGAAGAAGTCGCCGCTCACCAGGACGACGTGGTGGTGGTGGTGGTGAGTGTTGTCAAGGTGAAGAAGTCGCCACTCACCAGGACGACGTGGTGGTGGTGGTGGTGGTGGTGGTGAGCGTCGTCAAGGTGAAGAAGTCGCCACTCACCAGGACGATGTGGTGGTGAGTGTCGTCAAGGTGAAGAAGTCACCACTCACCAGGACGACGTGGTGGTGGTGGTGGTGGTGGTGGTGAGCGTCGTCAAGGTGAAGAAGTCGCCACTCACCAGGACGTCGTGGACGTGGTGGTGGTGGTGGTGAGTGTCGTCAAGGTGAAGAAGTCGCCACTCACCAGGACGACGTGGTGGTGGTGGTGGTGAGTGTCGTCAAGGTGAAGAAGTCGCCGCTCACCAGGACGACGTGGTGGTGAGTGTCGTCAAGGTGAAGAAGTCGCCGCTCACCAGGACGTCGTGGACGTGGTGGTGGTGGTGGTGAGTGTCGTCAAGGTGAAGAAGTCGCCACTCACCAGGACGACGTGGTGGTGGTGGTGGTGAGCGTCGTCAAGGTGAAGAAGTCGCCACTCACCAGGACGACGTGGTGGTGGTGGTGGTGAGCGTCGTCAAGGTGAAGAAGTCGCCACTCACCAGGACGACGTGGTGGTGAGTGTCGTCAAGGTGAAGAAGTCACCGCTCACCAGGACGACGTGGTGGTGGTGGTGGTGGTGAGCGTCGTCAAGGTGAAGAAGTCGCCACTCACCAGGACGACGTGGTGGTGGTGGTGGTGGTGAGTGTCGTCAAGGTGAAGAAGTCGCCACTCACCAGGACGACGTGGTGGTGGTGGTGGTGGTGAGTGTCGTCAAGGTGAAGAAGTCGCCACTCACCAGGACGACGTGGTGGTGGTGGTGGTGGTGAGTGTCGTCAAGGTGAAGAAGTCGCCACTCACCAGGACGACGTGGTGGTGGTGGTGGTGGTGAGTGTCGTCAAGGTGAAGAAGTCGCCGCTCACCAGGACGACGTGGTGGTGGTGGTGAGTGTCGTCAAGGTGAAGAAGTCGCCGCTCACCAGGACGACGTGGTGGTGGTGGTGGTGGTGAGCGTCGTCAAGGTGAAGAAGTCGCCGCTCACCAGGACGACGTGGTGGTGGTGGTGAGTGTCGTCAAGGTGAAGAAGTCGCCACTCACCAGGACGACGTGGTGGTGGTGGTGGTGGTGAGCGTCGTCAAGGTGAAGAAGTCGCCACTCACCAGGACGACGTGGTGGTGGTGGTGGTGAGTGTCGTCAAGGTGAAGAAGTCGCCGCTCACCAGGACGACGTGGTGGTGGTGGTGAGTGTCGTCAAGGTGAAGAAGTCGCCGCTCACCAGGACGACGTGGTGGTGGTGGTGGTGGTGAGCGTTGTCAAGGTGAAGAAGTCGCCGCTCACCAGGACGACGTGGTGGTGGTGGTGGTGGTGGTGAGTGTCGTCAAGGTGAAGAAGTCGCCACTCACCAGGACGACGTGGTGGTGGTGGTGGTGGTGAGCGTTGTCAAGGTGAAGAAGTCGCCACTCACCAGGACGACGTGGTGGTGGTGGTGGTGGTGAGCGTCGTCAAGGTGAAGAAGTCGCCACTCACCAGGACGACGTGGTGGTGAGTGTTGTCAAGGTGAAGAAGTCGCCGCTCACCAGGACGACGTGGTGGTGGTGGTGGTGGTGAGTGTCGTCAAGGTGAAGAAGTCGCCACTCACCAGGACGACGTGGTGGTGGTGGTGGTGGTGAGTGTCGTCAACGTGAAGAAGTCGCCACTCACCAGGACGACGTGGTGGTGAGTGTCGTCAAGGTGAAGAAGTCGCCGCTCACCAGGACGACGTGGTGGTGGTGGTGGTGGTGAGTGTCGTCAACGTGAAGAAGTCGCCACTCACCAGGACGACGTGGTGGTGGTGGTGGTGGTGAGCGTCGTCAAGGTGAAGAAGTCGCCGCTCACCAGGACGACGTGGTGGTGGTGGTGGTGGTGGTGAGCGTCGTCAAGGTGAAGAAGTCACCGCTCACCAGGACGACGTGGTGGTGGTGGTGGTGGTGAGCGTCGTCAAGGTGAAGAAGTCGCCGCTCACCAGGACGACGTGGTGGTGGTGGTGGTGGTGAGCGTCGTCAAGGTGAAGAAGCGGCACCACCACAGACCCGTGGGGATGAGGAGCAGGAGGATGAGGAGGATGAGGAGCAGGAGGATGAGGAGGATGAGGAGGAGGATGAGGAGGAGGAGGATGAGGAGGAGGAGGAGGAGGAGGATGAGGAGGAGGAGGAGGAGCACCGCGTGGAGGGAGACCGTCCCCTACGGGGGCGGTGGCTGCCAAGCTCCCCACGGCCGAGTCGATGTTCGGCGTGCCGTGCCGCGGAGGCCGAGCGGCAAGGGGAGAGGCTCGCCGGCAGGAAGCCCCCCGCCGCGACCCCCTCCCACCCTTGCCCACACTGCCGCAGAATCTCCACGGGGCCCAGCGAGGAGGACGGCCGCGGCCGCCCATGGCGGTGGACGGGCGGGCGAGGCGGTGGACGGGCGGGCGAGGCGGTGGACGGGCGAGGCGGTGGAGGGGCGAGGCGGTGGACGGGCGAGGCGGGCGGTGGACGAGTGGGGCGGTGGACGGGCAAAGCGGTGGACGAGCGGGCTAGGCGGTGGACGGGCGGGCGAGGCGGTGGACGGGCGAGGCGGGCGGTGGACGGGCGAGGCGGTGGACGGGCGAGGCGGTGGACGGGCGAGGCAGTGGACGAGTGGGGCGGTGGACGGGCGGGCGAGGCGGTGGACGGGCAAAGCGGTGGACGAGCGGGCGAGGCGGTGGACGGGCGGGCGAGGCGGTGGACGAGCGGGCGAGGCGGTGGACGAGCGGGCGACTAAGTGTCGTCTCACCCCACCCACCGCCCTAGGCTGGAGCCGTGGCAAGCGGAGTTCGTCCGGCTACGGGGAGGGGAGCCCCCCGGCGAAACGCTCGGCAGACGACAGCTCCCGCTCCTCCTACAGGGGAGACGGTGGGTGGCACACACACAGAGAGAGAGAGAGAGTGGGTGGGTGGGTGTGTGGGTGGGTGGGTGGGTGGCACACGCACAGAGAGAGTGTGGGTGGGTGGGTGGGTGTGTGGGTGGGTGGGTGGGTGGGTGTGTGGGTGGGTGGGTGGGTGGCACACGCACAGAGAGAGTGTGGGTGGGTGGGTGGGTGTGTGGGTGGGTGGGTGGGTGGCACACGCACGGGGAGAGAGTGGGTGGGTGTGTGGGTGGGTGGGTGTCACACGCACAGGGAGAGAGTGTGGGTGGGTGGTGGCACAGAGAGTGTGACGATGACAATATGACCCCAGAGGTGATGTGGTCATGACGATGTGATGACGATGTGATGTGATGACGATGTGACGCTAATGGTGGTGATGATGATGATGGCGACAGTGGTGATGATGACGAGATGATGATGATGATGTAACGCTAGTAGTGGTAGTGATGACGATGGCGACAGTGGTGGTGATGACGATGTGATGGCGATGTGATGTGATGACGATGTGATGTGATGACGATGTGATGTGATGACGATGTGATGACAATGTGATGACGATGTGTTGATGATGATGATGGCGATAGTGGTGGTGATGACAATGTGATGACGTCATATGACGATGACGTAATGTGACGATGACGTCGTGTGACGATGCCGTCGCGTGACGATGACGTCGCGTGATGATGACGTGTGTCGATGACGTCGTGTGACGATGACGTCATGTGACCCAGGCTATGAATCCCGTGGCCGGACTCGTGGCTCCTCATCGTCCTCCTCGTCCCGGGGGGGGAGGGGCCGTGAGGGAGGGGGCAGCTACGAACGCAGCACCCGCAAAGACGGGTACCCCCCACTAGTACCCCCCACTAGTACCCCCCACTAGTACCCCCCACTAGTACCCCCACTAGTACCCCCCACTAGTACCCCCCACTAGTACCCCCCACTAGTACCCCCCCACTAGTACCCCCCACCAGTACCCCCCACTAGTACCCCCCACTAGTACCCCCCACCAGTACCCCCCACTAGTACCCCCCACCAGTACCCCCCACTAGTACCCCCCACCAGTACCCCCCACTAGTACCCCCCACTAGTACCCCCCACTAGTACCCCCCACTAGTACCCCCCACTAGTACCCCCCCACTAGTACCCCCCACTAGTACCACCCCCCACTAGTACCCCCCCACTAGTACCCCCACCAGTACCCCCCACTAGTACCCCCCACCAGTACCCCCCACTAGTACCCCCCACTAGTACCCCCCACTAGTACCCCCCACCAGTACCCCCCACTAGTACCCCCCACTAGTACCCCCACTAGTACCCCCCACTAGTACCCCCCACTAGTACCCCCCACTAGTACCCCCACTAGTACCCCCCACTAGTACCCCCCACTAGTACCCCCCACTAGTACCCCCCACTAGTACCCCCCACCAGTACCCCCCACTAGTACCCCCCACTAGTACCCCCCACCAGTACCCCCCACTAGTACCCCCCACCAGTACCCCCCACTAGTACCCCCCACCAGTACCCCCCACCAGTACCCCCCACTAGTACCCCCCACTAGTACCCCCCACCAGTACCCCCCACCAGTACCCCCCACTAGTACCCCCCACCAGTACCCCCCACCAGTACCCCCCACTAGTACCCCCCACTAGTACCCCCACCAGTACCCCCCACTAGTACCCCCCACCAGTACCCCCCACTAGTACCCCCCACTAGTACCCCCCACTAGTACCCCCCACCAGTACCCCCCACTAGTACCCCCCACTAGTACCCCCACTAGTACCCCCCACTAGTACCCCCCACTAGTACCCCCCCACTAGTACCCCCCACTAGTACCACCCACTAGTACCCCCCACTAGTACCCCCCCACTAGTACCACACCACTAGTACCCCCCATTAGTACCCCCCACTAGTACCTCCCACTAGTACCCCCCACTAGTACCCCCCACTAGTACCCCCACTAGTACCCCCCACTAGTACCCCCCACTAGTACCCCCACTAGTACCCCCCACTAGTACCCCCCACTAGTACCCCCCACTAGTACCCCCCACCAGTACCCCCCACCAGTACCCCCCACCAGTACTCCCCACCAGTACCCCCCACTAGTACCCCCCACTAGTACCCCCACTAGTACCCCCCACTAGTACCCCCCACTAGTACCCCTCTCCACCAGCTCACCACTACCACCACCTCACCACCACCACCTCACCACCACCACCACCTCACCACCACCACCTCCTCACCACCACCACCTCACCACCACCTCACCACCACCACCTCACCAACACCTCACCACCACCACCTCCTCACCACCACCACCTCACCACCACCACCACCTCACCATCACCACCACCTCACCACCACCACCTCACCACCACCACCACCTCACCACCACCACCACCTCACCACCACCTCACCACCACCTCACCACCGCCACCACCTCACCACCAGCTCACCACCACCACCACCTCACCACCACCACCTCACCACCACCTCACCACCAGCTCACCACCACCAGCTCACCACCACCTCACCACCACCACCACCACCACCTCACCACCACCACCACCTCACCACCAGCTCACCACCACCACCTCACCACCACCACCTCACCACCACCACCTCACCACCACCTCACCACCAGCTCACCACCACCACCTCACCACCACCTCACCACCACCAGCTCACCACCACCACCACCTCACCACCACCACCTCACCACCACCACCTCACCACCACCTCACCACCACCTCACCACCAGCTCACCACCACCAGCTCACCACCACCTCACCACCACCACCTCACCACCACCACCTCACCACCACCTCACCACCACCTCACCACCACCTCACCACCACCAGCTCACCACCACCTCACCACCACCACCTCACCACCACCACCTCACCACCACCACCTCACCACCACCACCACCTCACCACCACCACCTCACCACCACCTCACCACCACCACCTCACCACCACCACCTCACCACCACCACCACCTCACCACCACCACCTCACCACCACCACCTCACCACCACCTCACCACCAGCTCACCACCACCAGCTCACCACCACCTCACCACCACCACCACCTCACCACCACCACCTCACCACCACCACCTCACCACCACCACCTCATCACCAGCTCACCACCAGCTCACCACCAGCTCACCACCACCACCACCTCACCACCACCACCTCACCACCACCACCTCACCACCACCACCTCACCACCACCTCACCACCACCACCACCTCACCACCAGCTCACCACCACCTCACCACCAGCTCACCACCAGCTCACCACCACCACCTCACCACCACCACCACCACCTCACCACCACCTCACCACCACCACCACCTCCTCACCAGCTCACCACCCGCTCACCTTGTGTGGTTGCCCTCTGCCTAGGGAGCGATCGTCACGTGGCCACAGCAGCGGCGGCAGTGGCAAGCGCTCAGCAGCAGCAGCAGGGGACGACTACGACAACAACTACACTCACTTTGGTGGGTACCACTACTAGCACTACTACCACTACACTAACACTATCACTACTAACACTATCACTACACTACTACACTACTACTATCACTACTACCACTACTATCACTACTACTACACTACTACTACTACAGCAGCAGGGGACGACTACGACAACAACTACACTCACTTTGGTGGGTACCACTACTAGCACTACTACCACTACACTAACACTATCACTACTAACACTATCACTACACTACTACACTACTACTATCACTACTACCACTACTATCACTACTACTACACTACTACTACTACAGCAGCAGGGGACGACTACGACAACAACTACACTCACTTTGGTGGGTACCACTACTAGCACTACTACCACTACACTAACACTATCACTACTAACACTATCACTACACTACTACACTACTACTATCACTACTACCACTACTATCACTACTACTACACTACTACTACTACAGCAGCAGGGGACGACTACGACAACAACTACACTCACTTTGGTGGGTGTCACTACCACAACTATCACTTCACTATCACTACTACTACTATCACTACACTACTACTAACACTACACTAACACTACTACACTACCACTACAGCAGCAGCAGCAGCGGACGACTACGACAACAACTACACTCACTTTGGTGGGTACCACTACTATCACTACACTATCACTACTATCACTACACTAACACTATCACTACTACTATTACTACTACACTACCACTACACTATCACTACTACACTACTACAGCAGCAGCAGGGGACGACTACGACAACAACTACACTCACTTTGGTGGGTGTCACTACTACAACTATCACTACTACAACTACTAACACTACTACTAACACTACTACTACACTACAACACTACTATCACTACTACTACACTACTACTACTACAGCAGCAGCAGGGGATGACTACGACAACAACTACACTCACTTTGGTGGGTACCACTACTATCACTACTACTAACACTACACTACTACTAACACTAAACTATCACAACTACTATCACTACTACTACACTACTACTACACTACTATCACTACTACACTACTACTACACTACTATCACTACTACTACTACTACCACTACTACTACACTACTATCACTACTACACTACTACTACACTACTACTACACTACTATCACTACTACACTACTACTACACTACTACTACACTAACACTACACTACTACTACACTACTACTATCACTACTACTACTACACTACTACTATCACTACTACTACTACACTACTACTACACTACTATCACTACTACACTACTACTACACTACTATCACTACACTACTACTACACTACTACTATCACTAACACTACACTACTACTACACTACTAATATCACTACTACTACACTACTACTATCACTACTACTATCACTACTACTACACTACTACACTACACTACTACACTACTACTACACTACTACTATCACTACTACTATCACTACTACTATCACTACTACTACTACACTACTACTACACTACACTACTACTATCACTACTACACTACTACTACACTACTACTACACTAACACTACACTACTACTACACTACTACTATCACTACTACTACTACACTACTACTATCACTACTACTACACTACTATCACTACTACACTACTACTACACTACTACTACACTACTATCACTACACTACTACTACACTACTACTATCACTAACACTACACTACTACTACACTACTAATATCACTACTACTACACTACTACTATCACTACTACTACACTACTACACTACACTACTACTACACTACTACTATCACTACTACTATCACTACTACTATCACTACTACTATCACTACTACTACACTACTACTACACTACTACACTACACTACCACTACACTACTACTACACTACTACTACACTACTACTACACTACACTACTACTACACTACTACTACACTACTACTACACTAACACTACAGCAGCAGGGGACGACTACGACAACAACTACACTCACTTTGGTGGGTGTCACAACCACAACTACACTATCACTACTACTATCACTACTACTACACTACTACTACTACTGTCACTAACACTATCACTACTACTACACTACTACTACTACACTACTACTACACTACTACTACACTACCACTACCACCACTACCACCACTACCACCACCACCACTACCACCACTACTACCACTACTACTACCACCACCACTGCGTGGCTTACTAAATGTGTGTGTGTGACTGACTAAATGTGTGTGTGACTGACTAAATGTGTGTGTGTGACTGACTAATATGTGTGTGTGACTTCCTAAATGTGTGTGTGACTGACTAATGTGTGTGTGTGACTGACTAAATGTGTGTGTGACTGACTAAATGTGTGTGTGACTTACTAAATGTGTGTGTGACTGACTAAATGTGTGTGTGTGACTGACTAAATGTGTGTGTGACTTACTAATGTGTGTGTGTGACTGACTAAATGTGTGTGTGACTGACTAAATGTGTGTGTGACTTACTAAATGTGTGTGTGACTGACTAAATGTGTGTGTGACTTACTAAATGTGTGTGTGTGACTGACTAAATGTGTGTGTGACTTACTAAATGTGTGTGTGCCTGACTAAATGTGTGTGTGTGACTGACTAAATGTGTGTGTGACTTACTAAATGTGTGTGTGCCTGACTAAATGTGTGTGTGACTTACTAAATGTGTGTGTGACTTACTAAATGTGTGTTTGACTTACTATATGTGTGTGTGTGTGACTGACTCAATGTGTGTGTGTTTGACTGACTAAATGTGTGTGTTTGACTGACTGTGTGTGTGTGACTTACTAAATGTGTGTGTGACTGACTCAATGTGTGTGTGTTTGACTGACTAAATGTGTGTGTGACTGACTAAATGTGTGTGACTGACTAAATGTGTGTGTGACTTACTAAATGTGTGTGTGTGACTGACTCAATGTGTGTGTTTGACTGACTAAATGTGTGTGTGACTGACTAAATGTGTGTGTGACTGACTAAATGTGTGTGTGACTGACTAAATGTGTGTGACTTACTAAATGTGTGTGTGTGTGACTGACTCAATGTGTGTGTGTTTGACTGACTAAATGTGTGTGTTTGACTGACTGTGTGTGTGTGACTGACTAATGTATGTGTGTGTGTGACTGACTAAATGTGTGTGTGTGTTTGACTGACTAAATGTGTGTGTTTGACTGACTGTGTGTGTGTGACTGACTAATGTATGTGTGTGTGACTGACTAAATGTGTGTGTGACTGACTAAATGTGTGTGTGACTGACTAAATGTGTGTGTGACTGACTAAATGTGTGTGTGTGTGACTGACTCAATGTGTGTGTGTGACTGACTCAATGTGTGTGTTTGACTGACTAAATGTGTGTGTGACTGACTAAATGTGTGTGTGACTGACTCAATGTGTTTGTGTGACTGACTAATATGTGTGTGTGACTGACTAAATGTGTGTGTTTGACTGACTGTGTGTGTGTGACTGACTAATGTATGTGTGTGTGTGACTGACTAAATGTGTGTGTGACTGACTAAATGTGTGTGTGTGACTGACTAAATGTGTGTGTGACTTACTAAATGTGTGTGACTTACTAAATGTGTGTGTGACTGACTAAATGTGTGTGTGACTGACTAAATGTGTGTGTGCGTGACTGACTAAATGTGTGTGTGACTGACTAATGTTTTTGTGTGTGTGACTTACTAAATGTGTGTGTGACTGACTAAATGTGTGTGTGTGGCTGACTAATGTGTGTGTGACTGACTCATGTGTGTGTGTGAGTGTGACTGACTAAATGTGTGTGTGACTGACTAAATGTGTGTGTGTGACTGACTAAATGTGTGTGTGTGACTTACTAAATGTGTGTGTGACTGACTAAATGTGTGTATTTGACTGACTGTGTGTGTGACTGACTAAATGTGTGTGTGTGTGTGTGACTGACTAAATGTGTGTGTGTGACTGACTAAATGTGTGTGACTCTCAGCGACTGTAATTGTGTAACCATCCGTAAGTGACTGTGACTATCCTGTGTGTGATTATCTGCAGGGGGATTGTAAGTGGCTGTGTTAGTGGCTATGTTAGTGACTGTGTTAGTGACTGTGTTAGTGACTGTGTTAGTGACTGTGTTAGTGACTGTGTTAGTGGCTGTGTTAGTGGCTGTGTTAGTGACTGTGTTAGTGGCTGTGTTAGTGACTGTGTTAGTGGCTGTGTTAGTGGCTGTGTTAGTGACTGTGTTAGTGACTGTGTTAGTGACTGTTAGTGACTGTGTTAGTGACTGTGTTAGTGGCTGTGTTAGTGGCTGTGTTAGTGGCTGTGTTAGTGGCTGTGTTAGTGACTGTTAGTGACTGTGTTAGTGGCTGTGTTAGTGACTGTGTTAGTGGCTGTGTTAGTGGCTGTGTTAGTGACTGTGTTAGTGACTGTGTTAGTGGCTGTGTTAGTGGCTGTGTTAGTGGCTGTGTTAGTGGCTGTGTTAGTGGCTGTGTTAGTGACTGTGTTAGTGGCTGTGTTAGTGGCTGTGTTAGTGGCTGTGTTAGTGGCTGTGTTAGCGGCTGTGTTAGTGACTGTGTTAGTGGCTGTGTTAGTGGCTGTGTTAGTGGCTGTGTTAGTGGCTGTGTTAGTGGCTGTGTTAGTGACTGTGTTAGTGGCTGTGTTAGTGGCTGTGTTAGTGGCTGTGTTAGTGACTGTGTTAGTGGCTGTGTTAGTGACTGTTAGTGGCTGTGTTAGTGGCTGTGTTAGTGGCTGTGTTAGTGACTGTGTTAGTGACTGTGTTAGTGACTGTGTTAGTGACTGTGTTAGTGGCTGTGTTAGTGGCTGTGTTAGTGGCTGTGTTAGTGGCTGTGTTAGTGACTGTGTTAGTGGCTGTGTTAGTGGCTGTGTTAGTGACTGTGTTAGTGACTGTGTTAGTGACTGTGTTAGTGGCTGTGTTAGTGGCTGTGTTAGTGGCTGTGTTAGTGGCTGTGTTAGTGGCTGTGTTAGTGGCT